ACTTCTAAAATAGTCCTGATCCACAAACGTTCCTACGGATTCCTTTGATAAAACAGGTCTTTGTTTTACCAGGAAACTACAAACGCCAAACTGTTTAAAATACCAGATCTAAAGCAGATAGATCGTATCTGACAGCCTTGCTTTAAAAAAAATCTATCAAATATCTACACTAAAGTTTATCTTTAGCGATTAACAGTTATTGTCACTCATTCCAGGTAGGCGATAAAAAGTTCTACTGGCTTCACTTTGTATTAGTCTACGTTCCTACTGCAGGCCTTGATGCTCAATTCCGATTTTTTTTTTTTTGCGTTGCATCACATTTCCAAATATATGCGACTTGTATGTGATCTCTTGTGTGAACTGCAAGCGTTTCGCATGCACAGCATAGGACGCAATGACGTCACAGGCTAGCATGCTCTGCGTTTACGGAAGTAAACATGGATGGTAGTGCCGGAGAGCATCTAGCGATCTTCCCCAACCATAAAAACACCATCTTTTCAAGATGGTTAAACATCGTCCACAATGGTTGTTGTTTTTCCTGCCGCTTCTTCATAGCAAGACCCAGAATGGTGACCTTTGTTGGGGATTAATGTTGTTCAGGTCGGATGAATGCGACCTGGCCGTTCAGACACGGGTTGCATTTGAAAAGATCAGATTCATATCTGATTCAGGACCAGATAGCCAAGTGGCCTGGGTCGCATTGGAAAAAGTTGAATCTGTGTTGCTCAGACTGTCATGAAATGATCAGATCCAGGTCGCATATGGGCCAAAAAATTGGATTTGGGTAATTTCAGGCTGCATTTTAAAAGTAGCCTTAGTCTTTTTCCTGCATCACAGAGGTAGGCAGCAGTTTGACAAAGCCATGATGGTAATTATTTTACATCCAAGTATTATGCAGTTCTTCATATATATATATACACTCGCACATCAATTTCAAACAGAAGATATCGGTATCGGGTCCAAAAAATGGCATCAGAGCAACACTAATAAAAACCATTTCCCCTGTTTTTGTTAGATTTTTTTAACCTATTTAAATCCAGAAACTTGCTTTCAAACCTGAGTGCTTCCATTTTATCTGACGTTGGTGCAGATCATGAGGAAACGGTCCTTGCTGACACCAGAGGAGAGTAAACCATTCTACTCTTGTCTTTCTATACCAGCATTTTAAAAAGCATCCACCACCATTAAAAAACTTTGTTTTCAAATAAAAATAAAACTTGAATAACTTGACCTTTTGTTTGCTGTATATTTGTCCTATTGATGTTAATTAATAGTATTACCATTAACCAGAATGATTAAAACAAACTGCTCCTTAAATGTTGGTATTATAATCATTTCTTTCTGGGGTTTCAAACCATATGAGGTCTCTGCTTTATTTTTTACTTTCACTTTGTTGTTTTTGAGCAGTGGAACAAATAATTTTGTGACTTGAAAAGCTTTTGTAACTAAGATTCATGTTTTACAGGGGGAAGAAAAGAAAAATCTCTTTTTTTTTTTTTTTTTTGTAGAGTTGTAGTCTCTGAAGTCCTTTCTGTGTCTTTGTGTCGCTGATTGACCCACAGACTTCCTGAAATCCTGGTGGTGGATCTGTCCTGCAGTTGAAACCATAGGCACATGTGGGGGATTCTTTGCCTTAAAAATATCCCAGAAGTTTCGCTGTCAATATTATTCCTGACTTCTTACATTTATATGAACAAATTTAACCTTTTTATTGTATTTTAGGGGGAAAAAAACATATTTTAACACTGTATTGATCACCCTGTCTAAGTTTACATTTATCATGAAAGAGTTTTTTTTTTTTTTTTCAGTTTCTATTGTAATTAAATCTTGGAGTAAAATGTAAGGAAGCTATTTTTGTACACTACAAAGATGCCATGTTTTGTAACAATTAAATGCTCATTAAGGACTTTGAGCTACAGGCAGTCTGGACTACACTGCATATACTGCATTAATAAATAAATGTATGCAATATTTCTGACTCCTTTCTCTGGTCTGTGGAGCACAGGAGTCTGGGTTTCCTTTAAGCATCTTCATAATTCTGGAACAAGAAAAAAAGACTATTACCTTTACTCTTACAAAACCTTTCTGCACTGGAAAAACTATCTAGAAGTAAGTAAAAAATTCTTACATTAAGTGTATTTATCCTTAATTTGAGTAGGTAAATTAGATAGTTTGCCAATGCAATGAGTGTTTTTACTTATAAATAATAATATATTATTATTTTAAATGTTAATTATCTTGTTCCTTTGGCAAAATGTCTTTTTTACCTCCTCAATCCAAGAACAAATGCACTTATTGTAGGAAAAAATTTCTTTTTTATTCTATTATTTTATATACTCTAGTTATCCCAGAGGGAAATTACTTCTCTGCATTTAACCCATCCCATTGGGGAGCAGTGAGCTGCCTACAGAAGAGGATTAGGGCCACTGAAAAAAAAAAAGTTAACTGATTTTTAAATTTTATTTCAGTTTAACATAGGAAAAAAGTCAGAATTCTGACTTTTTTTTCCTCAGACTTTAATCTCAGAATTTTGGATCTTAATGTAGATGGGCACCATGAAGGCAGAGATGTGGAGCTCTGAGCTTCACTGACAAAGATGTGAGTTGTTTGAGAGGGCCAGTGACACATTGGTGGAAAATGATGCAATTAGGCAACCTTTTACATGCCCGAGGGGTCCCCTCATTAATGGAGGAGCAGAAGGTCATTAAAACAAGAGAGCTAGTCTCTATAACAGACATGGCTATGGCCTGATGCTAACATGTTTATTATGTGTCAGAATTCTGAGAAAAAAGCCAGATTTCTCAGAATAAAGTCAGAATTCTGACTTTAATCTCAGAATTCTGACTTTAATCTCAGAATTCTGACTTTAATCTCAGAATTCTGACTTTTTCCCCATGTTAAATAAAAAAA